ATCAGCTTGTAACACTCCAAAGAGAAAGGAAAACTTGAAATCACATCATATGACCCCTTTAAAAAATACAATTTTCTACTTAAATGTGACACTTTGAATTAAACTTGAAATTTTGAAGTAGTATTTTTGGAAGTATTAGAAATTGTAGAAGTATTATTTTCTTTAAAAACACTCCAATACGCTTAAAAAAATTTTTTTTTACAGTGTAGGTCAAATGACTACATGCAGGTTCTTCAATTTGGGGTTAAGAACCATAAGATGGTTTTTATGTGTCTAAAATGTGTTGAGTTTTCAAGTTAATCTGAAGAGCTTGATTTATTGGTTCAGGTGCATTAGAACAGGGTTACTAATGGCAGACAGCTGTTTGAGGCCTCTGTTTACACTCTGTCAATACAATAATGCAGCCTGAACTGGTCAAACTGATAGAAACGAACAGCCAGATTACAAAGCAAACAACTTAGAATGATGATCCGTGAGCAAACCAATTTTTTGTAAGAACTAAGATCAGTTAAATTAAATGTTTTCTGCAACCTTCAAGATTTAATGGCCAATGGTCTGACAAGAATATTAACCATAATAATAGTAATTTGCACTAATACTAATAAATAAAATATGAAATGTTTAAAAATGTATGACATGTTGGTGTGACTTGGTTTAAATATATAAATACAAAAATATCGTGTTGTTTGCTTGTTGGTACAGCATAAATTTAGCATAAACAAATAGTATTTAATACAACCTAGAAACCTTCCATCAAATGAAAACAAAGCATTAAATGTTACTAAGAAAACCCATCCACAGAGTGGAGTTTGCCCCCTCTTTTGAGAGCTCCCCCATCTGCCATTGGCTCAAAGAAACTCAGAATGAGAACAGAAGTGGCTGACACTGTGTTTCACTATTGTTATTACAGGCTCGAAATGCCAACTACTCAGGACAGCGAGAATTAGCAGAGAGTAACTCCAAAACGGCGCTCAACCTGAATCATGCTGCCATTGGTATTGGCCTCATTGTCATTGTACTGTTGATAATTGTTAATATTGTACTTTGAGTTGATAAAAGCTAACAGAGCTGTCATGGTTGGATGTAGATTACAAACAGATTTGATTCTTTGCATTGCAAATGCTGTTTGCTCAATGTATCATTATAGCCTACTTACAACATA